TTACAGTGACCAAATTTTTTTATATGTTCATTACCACTGTCTACAGTCACCACTTGGAGCCTTCTAACAGGAAAGGTATCATCTTTCCTCATTAAAGCTGGGCAGCAAATGTTAGTAACTGGTCATTCACTGCAGGTGGGATTTTACTGAAACCATTTTATCTGAAGACTTTTATAGATTTCAAGCCTGTCTTTTGACCTCTTCTAGGTTCTAGTAGAGTCATGCTCGACCCTGTACCTGACAAAATATTAACATTTCATGTGTTTTGGAAGGGGATAGGAACAGAGGGGACGACGTAGACTAAGGAGCAGCAAGCACTGTAGTACTCTCATTTGGAAGTGCCAAATCACGCAAGGATACACTCTCCTCTCACTGATAACTACCAGAATGAATACAGAACTAAATCTCCTATCTGCACAAAGGACACCTGAAGCATTCTGTGATGCTTTTCATGTTGTCCCCTCCCCTGGGGGCCCTTAGTCTTTGGGAAAGAACAGGCTGCAGGCTGTACGAACTATCCCAACTCCATGCAGCCCATTCTTTACCAATGTCCTTTATTGCAGCTTTTAAAGTATTTTATACAATATAATATACAACAATTAGACAAAAACGTCTGCCTTACCAGATTATCAAGCATTCGCATAAGAGCTTCAAATTCCTGTTCACCAATCTGCCATTTTGGATGGGATACAGTACCCTCACCTGCTGGAGACTCAGGGGAACGAGACTTGGCTTTATACTTTCCAGGATCTAAAAGCACTAAATTGTCAGGTCCCCCGGCACTGGCCAGCGTACGTACCTTAAAAACAATAAAGTCAGCTTTTAGTTTCTTGGGGGAGGGGCAGGGAATACCCCAAAATAAAAAAATTGACATCAGCAAAACAGAAGAAATCTACTTCATTTCAAAGCTAAATAAAGTAACATACTTTCATAAAACTTGTCTTAAGGCTTCGAAAATATCTCTGTTTTAATAGGCAGTATATATCAAATCAATATTGCTGGTTAAACCAAGGTTTTGAACATCCTCGCATAACAAAGACTTCACAGATCACCGTGTTAGTTTAGATCAAGAGTTTAGCCAGTAAAGTGTGCAACTATTAATCTGTTTGCAGGTTAATATAGCAGACTAGTATCACATAACATACTAAAACTCTTACTTGAATCTCACAGGCAAGCACTAGATTATGAATATAGTAGAAAGCCTCCTCAACAGTCTCTCCAACTGATACTAAGCCATGGTTTCTCAGAATAAGGACCTAAAGAGATATTGCAAACAAAATTAACAGCAGTAAGGCAAGTATTTTCTTGCTCTTGATTAGAGAACATGCCTCCCCCATCCCCACACATATACTTTTCTTTAATTCTAGATGTAAATACTGACCTTGCTTTTAGGTCCCAAATTTTTCTGAATAACCACCTTTTCTTCATCATCCACTAAAATCCCATGGTAGTCATGATAAGCTACTTCCCCAAGAGAAAGCGCTTCCGGTGAAATTGGCAAAAGACCACACTTCATTGCAGAAACCTGAGAAATATTAACACAACTAACTGAATTTCTTCCAACAGAAAAAAAATGGAAAACTATAACAATAATAAGAATTATAATAAAAAATATATAAACATATTTTATGTATGTGTCCGTACAGACATGTACATAGTGGTCTTAGATTCCATCCCTAAAGCCTCTATTTTTCACAACTTTTGGACTGGATAGAAAAGTCACATTGATCTTGGGTCTGACTCAGTATGGCTGCTTTTACATGACCTCAACACCAAAATCAAAAGAGTCAGGAAAAAAAAAAACCTACCACCCAAATCAACTGTATCCTTCATTCCTTCCACTCCACTCAGTGATTCTATTCCAACCCCCCCTCCAAAAAGAAGAAATTTAGTGACAAACTTTGACACTGGTAATTCTGCAGCACTGCGGGTAAAGTTAAGGAACATTTTTAAAGACTACATTATCATTCACAATTTTAGGAATCTAATACTTTATCCTTAAAATGGTTGTATCACTGCTGTTAATCAGTTTAAAAAAATTAAAAGAATCAGAATGTGAACTTTGAAATAAAGTCACCAGATGACTCTCTCAAAAAATTCCGAAGAGGTACAACTGACTTGTAACCAGTTGTTCTAATGAGAGGTATTGGACAAGTTTCAAATATTTAAGAAAACCTTGATAAATTGTGCTGTTACAAAATCAACAAAATATGCTAAAGCTCTCATGACTCACTGCCCAAAGATATGGCCTTTTGTGGTAAAGGACCCACAAATATGAAATATGTATTTTCCAATTATAGAGCTCAATTTACTGTCTGACCACTCACATAACAACCAAATAAGGAGGATGTGATTGATTAAAACAGAACCACATGTTTGAAGGCAGACTTAAAGGCTTTGTGCCCTTCAGAAAGGAAGCAAATCTATGATTAAGGGGACCCACCTATTTTCCAGTTGAGTGGGGGGAACATCACAGATGACAAACTAAAAAGTGTGCTTACCGCTGCCCCTGCTGGTGTATGAATATGAACAATGCATTTAACATCAGGTCGAGCTGCGTAAATTGCAGAATGCAAAGTAAAACCAGCTTGGTTTACTCCCAAGTTAGTGCTTCCACGATCAACTACATCTCCCTGAATATTGATTTTGACCTGGGAACGAAAAGAGTTAGTTTCATAAATCAATCACGACTGCCAAAAATCTGATTTAATTCAACATCTACTACTGAAACACTAGAACTGTATTTCTTTCAGCAGTTTATTTTAACAAGTGTCAAAATGTGCTGTAGGTAGGTGACCAGGGCCCTGGCTTTAGATTAAGCTAACTGAAGAAGACATCAGGGACTACTGGATATGACACAAAACTGTTCCACATAACAGGTAACAGTGCAAGAAGCTGACAAAAGTTACTGAGAGAGCTGTGACAAATGGCTGCAACTCACTGAGAGTTACGGTAGGGTTATACAAGAAACTTGCAAACTTTACAGATTAAACTATTAAACTATCTTTATCTCAACCCATAAGTTTTACCTTTTTTTTTTCATTCTCCTCCCCATCCCACTGGTGGGAGGGAGCAGTGAGTGAGCAGCTGTGTGGTGCTTAAGTTGCTGGCTGAGGTTAAACCACAACACACACGGATCTGGCTATGCTATATACCTCCTCACTGTAGTCTATCTTCTTATTAAATCCCACTGCTAGCCATTTTCTGCATGAACATGCTCTCTACTCTGTGTGTGCATTTCGCTACCTTCAGCAACCTTCATTCTCAAGGTACTTACATTCCTGATAGAGATAAAAGCAGAACACCTTAAAAAAACAACCAACAAACCAAAACACACAAAATACCCCCACAGCGTGGCCCTTACTCTTCTAAAAGTCTTGTAGAAACAAGAAAGAGCAAGTCTAAGTTTTCTCCATTTCTTTTTCTACAGCTTTTTCAATTAAAATTTTACAGATGGTTAACGTGGAGTTATGTAAGAAAGAGCCAACTGCACAGATAGCTGAGAGGGAGTATTGGGACCTTAAGGTGTCAAGAGCAACACAAGATCAACTGCTATTGTTGTTAGTTGTTGTATAGTTGTTGATCAACTAGATCAACTGCAGGACAGCGGGTAGTGAACATCTGCAAAGAAATCTCTCTGAGATACCTCAGCTGTACAAAAACCAACCATGTTCAATAAAACTATTCTAAACATATGACACAGTGAAATATTCTCTAGTTCAGAATTTAAACATTGACAGATACACAGACAGGCAGATTCAGCTACTTGTATCTAACAGCTGTGAAAAACAGTAATTGTTTACCAGACTAGATGCAGTAACTTCACTATAGAGGAGTCCAAAAGGTACAATGAGGAAGTGCTCCTGCTCAGAACTTACTCTGGCCTAAGGATAAAACAAGAGTAAAAGTTACTACGAATATTTTAAAGGCTTTTACTTTTAAAGCATACAAGGCGGCACAAAACCATGAAAGTTACTTTCACTTCCTGAGTATGAAATGGGCAAGTATGCCAACAACATATGCAATATGACTGTCATGTATGCTACAACAGATTATCAACATACAGCACAGTTAATTAACTCATGTTGAACAAAACCACATGGTAGATACATCAGAGTCCTTCAGATTGGTGGAAGGTACTAAATCCTTAGATCCTTACTGGTAATGACAACTAAACTGCTATGGATCAAAGGAAGGGAGGGGGGAGCGAGGGACGTTACTGGTTTTTTTTAGAAGAATGAGCTTGTATTCCAACTGTATTTCTATCGTAGTAAAACAGAAGGTATGAAATGCAAGCATGTGAGAAAACACAAGAATTTGGCCCACAGATCTAAAACATCTTGATGCTGAGAAGGGTTTCATCGCTGATGCTGGTGCCAGGCGAGACATTGTGAGCAGTAGAGCACACTTGCAGGTTTTCTACCAAGTATCCTGACTGCCACTTATGTTTTTGCTCTTTTGTCTAAATCACACAATCAGGAGTTTAGAATACAAAACTAATTCTGAATTCAAACCATTCACATCTTGGGATGTATCTGTTTAAAGTCTGTACAACGAAAAATACAGTTAGGTAGCTTAGGTGTCTCTCAATGGAGAATTAAAAGGCTTCAAATGTTTTTACTGGACATATGAGACAACTCCCTATTTTGCTATCAGTCTACCCACTTTTTGTTTTTAATATTTTTAAATTTTTACTTTTTTTATTTATGAGTTTTTCATTTCCCCAAGATGCAGCTACTTTATGCTCCCTCATGTCTTCTACTACTTGCAACATTACATACATATATACTGTAATACAGTCCTAGTGCAGGGAAAAAAGTTTCTAAAATAAGTAGTTGATCAGTCATCCAAAAGCTTCTAGAAAGTAGAAATATAGTTTCCTTCACAACCAGCTGGTTACATGCTATAGCTTAAGAGCCTTATGCTGCACCAGTTAGTTTAAGTTAACCTGTACTTATGAATCACCAAAATAGCTCTCCATTATGGAACTTAAATCGTCTGGAATATCTTTTACTTATTTATGCAAGACAATGAACAGGTATTACTCAAAATGCCGCAAAAGCTAGTAAGAAAGCTCAAACATAGGATAAATGAGCAGCAAGACTCACAAACCACCTTACTTTAAGACTAGATCAAATAAACAGCTCATGCCCTCAAAGCAAACCAAGAGTTGGTGAATGATGTGTACCTTCTGTAAGCCTGTAATCTCAAATTCTGCCTAACCCTGGAGGCACCCAAGTTTACTCTGCATTATTGTACTTTACATGAAAGCTCTTGATGCTCTGTAATTCTGCTTCTGTGTCAAGACTACACCAGTCTGAACAATTCCACACACAGCAGCTGTCAGTGCCTGATAAGGATCCAGAAAAGCAAAGATACTCCACCCAATTCCCTGATATGCCCAGATTGGCATATGCTCTCACACCCTCACAATTCCTTTCTCCTCTAATACACAGGCTTATGCCCCTCACAGGAGGCTGTTGTATCTTTTCTTATAAATCAGAGGTGCACTGGCAGCTTTTAACTTGAATGCAATCACCTAGTAATTACAGCATCCACACACAAAAAACTGAAAACCTGGAGTCAAACTCCAAAGGAGTGTCTTACTACCACACTACTAAATGTATGGGTATACAGAACAAAGACAAGACCATTTTGTAAATATAACAACTTTGTTCTATGTCAGCTTCTGAAGGTACGTTACATCTATTAGTCACTTTTTAGAATGCTACTCACTGGAGGAGTTTCTAAAAGATGGGTGAATGACAACTTAGGATTGCCAGTGACAAACCACTAACTAAGAGCTTTCCAGTACCACTTTGCCCTTCAAAACTGTCTAACAATACTTTCAGAATCTCAAACTCCAAGTGCTTTGACTATCTTCCACCTCAGCTGGTATCACTACTATCTAATCTTGCTGTGCTTTACCTCCACCAAAAGAGAGTAAACTTGAGGCATTCCACCCCAATCACATGCTCTTGCCTTAACCACTTCTCTTGGCATGCTGCTCTTCATTACATTTACTTTTTTATCTAAATGCATAAACATTCCCAGGGCTGAACTTTACACTAGAAAGCCATCTCCAAACCCGCTTGCCTAGTAATCTTTTTACCGCATTAATGTCCCTTTTACACAATGAATTCTCCCATCACATATGAAAAATCAGGGGGTGGCACAGATTTGTTTACAAGAACCATTATGTTGGATACATTCCCTTACTGAAAGGACCAAATGCTCTAACCAACATCGCCTTGATCCTGTGCCTACCCATCTCATTTATCATCTTCATTGGCTTCACAAATAATATACCTTGAAATTTCAAAAAGCAGTAATAATAAAATTACTGTATCTCACTCAGGCTGTAACTAGAAGAACTGAAAATACATAAAGGACAACCTCTACCGTGTAGAAAAAAAAAAAACAATTAAGCTCTGTTAGGAAAACAATTGACTGTGTTGCACACCACAGCTGTGACTTTACTCATGAGACTCATGATCATTCTTCTGGCATATAAAACATCCTTGATTTGACCTCCTTGTCATTATTTTTATGGATGCCAGCAATTACCCAGTCACATGGAAAATTGCTGGCACACTGCTTTAAACTAAGTAGTTCGCTCATGTTCAGAAATACTATGGCTTCTTTTTCCAAAAGGTTGGTGGTACCTTGAATTATAAAATTCATCTGTATGACTAATAAGATATTTCAGTACTTAGCAAGAAATGAAGACATAACCTTGCAGAATGACAAATACAATTATTCAAAGCATTTAAGATACTAAAAGACTAAGTCTTTCAGGAATCTTAATTTCATCATAAGAACTTTCACATACACTCTCTTAAGACTCTATCCAGGCTATGGTAGCTGACATCCAAGCTGTTCCAGTTCTTATTCTTGAGATGTAATGACAAATCTCTTCACTATTATACTGCTTTCAATACTGCTTTGCTCCTCTTCCACACAAAGAGAAAGTGACTAATGGGGGAGGGAAGCAATTCTCTTGTATGTTAAAACAATTGGTTCAGTTATCTGTTGATTCAATACTCACTGTTATATGATTGTAAATAAGCTGAGACCAGCCAAAGAGATCTGCTAATCTGTAGAAAGCCGCCAATTTACATCGCAACAACTTCTCCCCTTTTTCATAAGCAATGGAATCTGATCCTCTCAGATCATTCACCGGTGTCACCATGCCAAGACCTGAAAAGGAGAAGCAGTAAAAAAGTACAAGGGGGGTTGTCTTCAACTTCAATTAACACCTAACACCACACACCACTATTACAGTGGTTGTTCTTACTGGTTTATATCAACATATTAACCTAAGAAACTTTAATTGTTATAATGTCATAATTTATATTCCACAAACACAATGACAGTCTCAGACAAGTCTCTATCTTCAGTAGACTCAGCACTTGTTTCCTTCCCTAATATTCATTAGTGCTAATGTGACAGTGGGCTCCTTAGCAAAGTATTTTTTTTCCTCTCTCAAACTAATGATTGTCTGTAAAATACAACTTCATTGTTAACAGAAAAATGTAACCCCGAATATTCAATTTTTTGAGATATATGATTTAGTATTCCTGAAAAGGAGAATTATATATCTAAAAAGATGCACACAAGTTCATTTAGTTAGGAAACATTAAGTACAAGCTAGAGATTATGGTAAATAGTTACAAATACTGTAGTTCTAGTTACAGTGCAATTAGAAACGTGGCTAAAAGTAACTGTGATAAAGCAGAACCAGGCCATGCTAAGTCTAAACCACAGATATTATTTTGAAGCACAGGCAAGGATTTATATTATCTTAACACAAAACCTATGTGTATGTGCATTTGCACATTTTGGTGTTTGTTTTCCTGCTTTGTTTTGCCTGCTGGAGTTTCTTGTCTATAGCTTCAGTTCAGAGAAGAAAGCTGCAAACAGTATTGCAATGGCAAAAATAATTAGTTTCTAACGACCTTCACTGTTACTAGACTACTAATGAGCATTTCATTTTCCTGCATCAATCCATGTGGTAAACATTAGCAAAATATAAATCTTTAAATTTTTTACTAGTGCTGACTTATCAGGCTTACTTTTCAATTAAGATACCATACAGGAAATAGCTTTTGATATAAATTATATACATGAATCACAATGCATATCACTGTGGCATTAGAAACTAATTAACTCATTTTATGCTTGCAATGTTCCTGTAAGCAGAACAGGATCACATTTGAACCTCCCAGCACTTTTCATTTCATTCACACTGCCTTCATTTTAAGTCTTTCAAAAAAAGAAAAAAAGGAAACAAAGAATTCAGCTATTATAAATTCAGATGTACTCACTCATGTTCAGTGCAGCCATTCCACCTTGTGGTGCTGCAGGGTAGACATTTGGTACATTCGTTGTCATGAAATCTGCAATCTGCTGTAAAGCCAATAAACCTGTTGGGTTCTTCCCCTTCTTAAATTGTTCCTGAATCATAGATTCCAGTTCTTCACAAAAAGCCTAGCAACAGGACATTGCATGTCGTAAAGCATGTTGAAATGAACTTCAAACTTTTATACACAGCTTCTTTTTAGCACTTAGATGGAAACATCCTATACCTCTTCTAAAAAACAGCTCAGGGCAAAATTACTGGTGCATACTGTTACTTGAAAATGTTGCTCTCTGCAGCTCAAATGATACGAGTCACTTATATTTTTGTTAATGGAAATTCCAGCATTCTCTCTCCGAGTAACACCAAAACCCACTGAATCTACTTATATGGATTTCTGGAAGAGTAAGCAGGATGTACAACAGACTTGAACACCAAATATGAAAATAAAAGTAGAACCAGAAAAGAGAAGAAAAATTACCAGTGTGGCTCACAGAGAACTGAGTGCCAAGAAGGCATCCAGCAACACAGGAAGGAATAGCCACTGAATTTTACAAATACATTTAAACAAGGGGTTGTTCACTTTCTTCCTGGTTGTTTTGTTCTTTTTGGTTTAGTTTTTTTGTTTGTTTTAACTTTTAACGGAAGAAAACAAGATTTTTTTTTACTACTGCTGGTAGCTGCTGCTTTTGACAAGAACACTGGAATTTGTATTGAAAGAAAAGTATTCCAACCGTTAAGTGAATCTAAATAAAATGGGTTGATTTCACATGGAAAACCTGTAAATAATATACCACTACATTCCTATTCTTAATGAAGTCCTGCTATGAAATATTTTGTATCTAAAGTCACCCATCAGTTATTACAAAAGGAACGAATGTTATGAGAGAAATTTTGTATTCTGTACTTTCTCCCTGAGGGAAATGGCTTTAATATTACATTTCAATCATTCATAGTTTATTATTGTGCACCTTTTCAGAAAGATACATACAAAAATATTTTGTATGTCAGAATTATGCATGAAAAACTGAGCACAGGACAGGCCTGCCTTGTATAAGCTACTCTTAGAACAGGTACCTAATTTAAGTGTTTAAATGAATACTGAATATATGAAACAAGTTAAGAAATGGTTGATCAGGACTAGATGGACAATATGAAAAAATGCTGACGATTACACAGAGAATTCTGAAAGCAAGACTGAAGAGCTTCTTCATGAGTAGACAATAAAAATTCAACCAGATAATGTGAGGAAAAATTAGGCTACAATTAGAACTTTAGAAGACAGGCCAACCAGAAAAAAGATCAAATGGATCTGAGATACCACAGATTTCTACAATTCCATAGGGATATTAAAAGTAGAGATATTAAATGTATCACTTTAAAGTTAAAGCATTTTCTTTTCTTACCGGGCTTTGAAGAATCATGGAGACTCTCTTCTTCTGTTCCATCATGTTAAAATCCTGGCGAAGGTCAGGTGCCATATTTCTCTCTCTCAAATAATCTGGATTATTTTCATCAACTCGATCAAAATACCTCTCTTTATGAGGGGCTGTTGTTGGAGGTGGTGAAGTCACCACCCCCACACCAGAATCACCATTCATAGCACAGTTTTAAGGAACCTGTTAGAGGAGGCAGAGAAGAGGAATAAATAAATCAAGCAAGAAAATAATTAAGAACTTCATATGTATTTCTTGTTTCAGAGCAACAGTTCAAATCCATCTAAAATTAGCATGGCTTCCCAAATACAGAAACCATTGTTTATGCAATTGGATAGTAATATTTTAACGGAGAAGAAAGATTTTAATATACAAGATTAGAAAAGTAGGCTAACATATACGCAAAGTCAACTATGCTACACACAAACATGCTACACGAAACTAATACAAGAGTTCCCATTTAAACCACCATCAGCTCCTTAAGTTGTCTACATAGCTTGATTTTCAGAACACTGGAAGTCCTTCAAACCTTCTCACCAACAATGACAGCAAAGTTCAAGACACATGAGGTCAAAACTCATTGGTTTTGGTTTGGGTTTGTGGGGGGTTATTTTGGTTTGGTTTTGCATTTTTATTTTTACTTAAAACATTAAAGCAGACATAATGAAAATATTCTACAAATCAGAATTCAAATCATTATGGAAAACATAATTACACATGTTCATTAATATGAAGAATCAACCCCACCAAAAACATGCTCAGATTGCGAACACATTTCTGGAGATGAAGGCAGAAATACTGACTCTACAACCTAAGGCATGCTTTTCACAAGTATATTTATTCTAGGTTCATTCAACAACATGTGCATCACCACATTAGCATGTGGGTTTTGGAATCTGGAAAGCACACACACACAAACACAACCCCCCCACCCACCGGCCAAGGTTCATTTCAGTTTTACATGTTGTAATCAGCAATCGCATGTGTCTACTAGAACGGCTGAAAACTCGGTTGGTATTGCTCATACACACATCCTTTTTTCAGTCACAAGAATCCCTTTGAGTAACATTATCCCAGTTTTCTGGGCATAATATCATAACTTTCATTCCAAAATCCTTTTTAGAAGATTTTTTTTTTAAGCCTTCCACTGACAAGCAACCAGTTCAATAAAGCCACCCTCGCAACACCTTTGAGGCTCAAAACTCTGATTCCTGATCACCTGACATATCAATTTAAAATTGAGCTTTTTCAGAAAAGCTTTATTTTCTTTGCATATCGTACATGATTAAACAAAATGTCACTAACAAACTGTACTTCACTAACTGTAAAACTGTAATAAGAATATTTAACTCTGAATGGCTTGCCAGTTCAGCAAACTGTAATTATTTACATTATACACAAAATAGGCAAGGTTGAAACCCCTTGCCATCACGACACTTAGCAACTTTACTAAGAAAATGAGCCGATAAAAGCTAGTAGGTCTTTTCCTGGAGGTGCAAGAACAGGTAAAGAGAATAAAGTAGCAGAATCTAGCTCCCTGTCCCAGTAAGGCAAACCAGACTAATTTCAGTAATACCAATTCAGATTTGGGGTTCACACTGTAAGGGGAGCTCTGATTTAAAAAGTCAATTTCATGATGCATCTTCTATTTTGCAAGGATTAATACCATTAAAATCTGCTGGCATTATCAAGTCATTGCAATTCTTTTGGCTATGTAGTAGGAAAGATTGTATGCATCTTCATTTAAGTAACGACTATTCTTCCACATGTTATAACCAGTAAATTTTGATACACATCTCTACTCTTTCACTATTTTTAGTACTTTTCTTAGTGACTTGTCTTAAAACTGTACTTTCTTGCGGAATTTAATTTTATTAGGAATTTACTTGCCTATTTACTAGCTAAAGCCACCTCAGTTATGGATCCACACAGAAAAGGAAAGTTTACATAAGTTATTTTGAAATACAGATTATGTTATTCCAGTGAAGAAAATTATCTACTTCAAGACATCAGAATTAGCAGATCTCATCCTCTTTAATCCTTACATTAGAAAACAAGTTTCAAAACTCAACTGGTTTCTTACTTCAGAATGAACAAATCACTGAACTGAGACAGTTGAACACAATGAACAAACGAAAAGTGTTTTCTTGACTCTGCAGAAGATACTACTATCAAAATCTATGCTAGCACTTAAGCCACTTGAGTTTTAGATGCTCAGTGATTTCCACCCACTGAGTAGCTAAATAAACACACACAGATATCTTTGCACTGTTTAACATACTTTGTTTTAAACCAATCAGTTTAGGCTTCAAAAGTCATAGTTGGATTTTTTTTTTCTTTTCGTCTTTAAAGTAAGCACATATACACATTTTTATTATTCTAACTTCTTTTAATTACTAGCTTTCCTCCACTCAGAAAGAAATACAGCAGGGCACAGCGGAAAGAAATAACGCTTTTAACCGCATGGAAAACATTTCAAGGTAGACCTAGAAAGTTTTAAGCAAGTGAAATTATAGAAAACGAGCCACCTCTCCTTTGGCAGCTTCAGACACCTAACACACACCCTTCTAAGTTCTCTTCCTCATCACAACCTCCAGCCTGCATCATCTGCCCATTTCATACCCCCAAAATGCCTTTGAAGGCCCACTACCACTTTCCAGAAGCCCTCATCTGAGCTCTATTAGCTCTCCTGATGCCTCGACATCCAGTTTTTTGTTGAAAATGACAGTTTGCAGATCCAAACACATAGCTTACTCTCTCACCATAATAGTTCACTTTGCCCAATCTAAGTCTGAACTTCAACTTCTGCTTATCACAAGGAATCAGAGAGTTTCGAAACAGTGCAAGGGCAAGCTCACAAATAAAGACAAACTGAACAGCTCAAGTAGTTCAGAATTTATACTGCATTCTGCTGAGTATAGCCCTAAATGTGTATTTACTTCAAAGCAAACCATGAGAAAACTATCAAGTCCACGCTTACCACTACCGCCACCAGCAGAGAACAGCAGCCCACTCCTACTGGCTGAAGCATTCAACTTCCAGAATGTATTTAAGTGTAATGTTGTATCTCGTGTATGTGTGTATGTGCAGTCTTATTTAGAGTGTACACACATCTGCAAACATAATTTTGCATTTAATTATTTACACTAATTCCATCTTACTTTCAGAGTACCAACAGCTATTTCCAAATGAGTTATACACATAGTTACTTCTCTTCACAGTTTCTTACCCACATCAGAAAGAAGCTGGTCTCTAACAGACTGCACAGGCAACAGTACAATGGTATCACAGTGTCTTGCCAAAGTTGTATTCCTCCTTCACCCAAGTATAAGATGGTGTTCAGGACAGTCCTGGGAAGCTATTACTGCTTCACCACTATGTAGGGGCAATAATATAACAGGGAATTCAAGGTTTAAGTGATCATTTTATATCCAAGGTTAAATACTGTTTTCATAGTTCAGTTTTGTTGATGCCCAAAATTAATGGCATCCCCCCACCACGGTCTAGTAATTAACACTTTTAATGTAACTGTAATAGTAATTGTTTATTTTAATGGCTGTCAGCTACTGATGATAAAGGTATTGATTTTTGAATTAAAAACAGATGTTTGACAGCATTTTGCACAAGCCATTGAAAATTATTTATGAGTTTCCTCTGAAGACCCTTTGGGAGTAGGGCATGATGAACTCCCCAGTAAGAGCTTCAGTAATATGGATACCAATAAATAAATAAAAGGAACCTGAGCATTTAAGCTGAACACACGCTGGGGAATGGCCAATGGTTCTATAAACTGGAAAGTCACTCTGAAAATCACAACAGGCTGCCCAGACAGTAGAAAATGACAAAACTTAAGACTGTCGTCATACCCACTGCTCTTCCATACAGATGTAGTGTACTACAGCCCCCAAGATAAGCTGTAATGTCAAAGGACTTTTTGCCACGATAAGTGTTTTTATGCAAGAGTCTGTTCTAACACAACTTTGTCAGAAAAAGCCACACCCTTAACTGAAAAAGCCGTGGCTGAAAACGTAAGTGCATAAAAAGCCCTTCTCTCAGAAGCAGCTATTTTCAAATATAAAGAGACCATTAGAGGGAACAGCATGTATTACGGGGAGGGGGGGAATATCATAAAACGCAAACCACACCTTATAGTAACTGAAGCAATTAGATCCATTAATCTAATACGTATGTAGGTATAAAGACCAGAAATTTCAATAAACCACCACATCAAATGAGAGCCACTAAGCCAACAGCATATTGTATTTATCACAGGGCACAGGTTGTGTGTATGCAAGTACTATAAACAGGTTGTTCATGAAATACATTTTTTAATCACAAAACCAGCATTATAAAATTTGTAGACCATTCAGAGATACTGAGCATTTTTTACAAAACAAACGTTCTGAAATTAGTATTAATATTTTGGGTTACTTTTATCATTCAAAATTCCCTTCCTCCCCATCCTCTTGTAACTCAAGAGAGTTTCCCCACAGGATTCACCTAAGAGGAAGTGGTGTTACAGAGTTTACTCTAAACAAAAGAAAGTTTTGGAACAGGAATGCTATAACATTGTTCACATTAACATCCAGAAAGAAGAAAAATATCAATTTTTTGGACAGCTTACATTCCTCAGCACTCAATCTGTAGAGTTATATGCACATATAGTTACATAAATTTAAATGGGTAAGACAGTGAATAATACCCAATAACAATCTACAATAACTTAAGGGCACATAAAACCCCCAAACTCTTAAATATATATAAAAAAAATTACAATAATTTAAAAACACCATTTTATTTGGGCTGGGATCTAATTGTAGTTGTTAAACACAATTAAAACTTTAGTATTAAACTCATTTCAATACCTAGAAGTTGGGACAGATTTAAGTATTTATGCCTTTGGTAGTTTACAGGTTCAGTGTTTCCCACCATCATGAATATTACAGGAACCCTGAGAGGATTTAAAAATGTCTCACATGTTCACTAGCAGGGACCAGCTAACTACATTTCTTAGAGGAAATGAATTTTTGTAATCATTTAAAGGTTGGTTTTGTTTTGCAATAACTTGTAAAGCGTTCTTTTCTGCTCCTCCACACCCAGAGGAAATTGTTTTTACTACAGCTGCAGTTGATGGGATTTGACATTATCTAAAGGCTCGCTGCCACCAAAGGACTGAGCACACCTCTTCACACCAATGCAGCTTTA